TTAGTCTTAAGGTTTATTGTTTCATAATAACAGGTTTTGAATGCCTGAATGAAGGTTTAGGCATGTTTATTCTATTGCAAATTTTTTACATTTACTGGGTTGCTGGTTGGAATTGAGCAATGCTCTTCTTAATGAAGGTTATGCACATTTTTAAGACCTGCTGCTGCTTACATATTTTATTGTAATTCAGCAAGTTTTTTGGAAGAAGCAATGCTCTTTTATAAATGCAAAAGCATTCAGTGCCTGTAATTCAGCAATGCTTTTCTTAATGAGGGTTTAGGCATGTTTATTCTATTGCAAATCTTTTACATTTACTGGGTTTCCTGGGTTTCTGGTTGGTTGGAATTGAGCAATGCTCTTGTTAATGAAGGTTATGCACATTTTTAAGACCTGCTGCTGCTTACATATTTTATTGTAATTCAGCAAGTTTTTTGGAAGAAGCAATGCTCTTTTATAAATGCAAAAGCATTCAGTGGCTGTAATTCAGCAAGTTTTTTGGAAGAAGCAATGCTCTTTTATAAATGCAAAAGCATTCAGTGGCTGTAATTCAGCAAGTTTTTTGGAATTCAGCAATGCTCTTGTTAATGAGGGTTTAGGCATGTTTATTCTATTGCAAATCTTTTACATTTACTGGGTTTCTGGTTGGAATTCAGCAATGCTCTTATTAATGAAGGTTATGCACATTTTTAAGTTCTGCTGCTGCTAACATATTTTATTGTGTTTTCTTTGGACTTATGTGGATATTTACTGAAAGTTTGTGATTTAAAAAGTGCGCAAGTAAATGGTGATCAGTTTATGACATATTGCGAGTTATGAGTGCTCCTTATCTCTGGATTCTAATGCAAATCTGATTCAAATTCTGTGAAAATGCCCTCTCACAGCAACCTTTTTAGCCACCTCTGATTTATACTCTCTGTGTTTTTGGGTTGTTGTTTGGTAGTGAGGGAAGGATTTAGACTAGTCAGATTGAGATGAGGATTGGGTTGCTTTGACGATAGAAAAAACTAAATTGATAGAAAAAACTAAATTGATGGAAGAGGAAGGAATGGACATTCTTTTTGGTTTTAGGACATTCTCTCTTTATGGTGGCAAATTTTGTTATGCTCTACAGGAAATCCTATAGTCGTATATCTTGTGAAAGATGAAACAATTTTTTAAAGTTTTTTATCACTATTGCTATGATATTTAACCTTTTTTATCACTATTGCTATGATATTTAACCTCCTACGATTCTATTATGCTTAGGCCAGAGGAGGCAGTTTCTTACTTTCTTTTGGGATTACAACAAGAGAAAGGCATGTAATCCATTTGGGTGCAATATTAATTCCTGTAATTGTGGTACACTTTATACTCTTCAGTCTTCAGTTATGTTAGTCCATCCTCTTGAGCTGGAATGTGAGAGCTGTCCTTACTCCTTACCTATATGCTGACTGGTGGAGGATTTATTTGGTGCAACCTTACAGGAAGAGCTGTGTTTGATTTCTTACATTTGATTGCTTTCATTTGATTGCTTTCATTTGATTGCTTTCATTTGATTGCTTTGATTGCTTTTATTTGGTGCAACCTTACAGGATTTATTTGGTGCAACCTTACAGGATTTATTTGGTGTAATTTCCAATCCACCTGAAGGATGCGAAAAACTTATCAATCTGGTATACATGATGCTTAAGCTTATATGCACCCTAGGATTTGGGTAATAAAGCTGATGTTTTTAGATTAAATGTTTAAATACATATGTTCCTTATTTTACCTTCAGGTGTTGGCGTGTTGCAAGTTATCACTGAAGAATCAACAGCTGATGCTGAGCTAATACTGCTAAACATCTGTATGAAACAAGAATGAATGTTATTTCTGTTGAATTCAATTGACTCGTACTTCTCATAACATACTTGTATATGTATTAGACAATTATATTTGCTTGAAGCTGAAGTTGATTTGTTCATTTTCTTACAGATAGAGCTTTTGGGCAAACATGGATTCATGGTTGAGCTCTATGAATTAATCCAGAGGATGTCATTTGAGCCTTCCATCACAATGTGGAGTAGAATTTATTATAGTTGTAATAATTACTAAACATGATGTGTATAGGAGATTAAGAGAAGTGAATGTATGCTGAATTTACAATTTGAAATTTGATTTCAATTTCACAGAGCTCTGAGAATTGAATTTACAATTTGAATTTTGAATATTATCTTTTTATGTAAGATATTATTTGTTTGACTAATGATGATAGATGTTTTTGTTGAAGTTTTTTATTTATTATTTTTTTGTAATTTTAGAATTTATTTTATAGTTATTTCAATTTATAAAAGTTAAAATGGTGGCATTTTTGATGTGGTATGAGAATTAATATTTAAATTTGTCTATTTAATAATTCAAAAAATATAAGAAATTTGAAAATTTGAAATAACTCTAAAAATATAAGAAATTTTCGAACGTTTCGAACAATTCGAACATTTCAAACATTTCAAACATATTCGAACAATTCGAACGATTCGAACGATTCGAACGATTCGAACAAATTCGAACCGAACACAAACACATATTTCACGAACAATTTCGAACACGAGCCTATTTCAAACAAACTTTATTTCAAACGAACCGAACACGAACACGAGCACTGTTTGTTCGTGTTCGGTTCGTTTACACCCCTATATGCATGTAATCTAAGTGATTCAAACCAAAGTTTGAAGCATTACCATAATTAAACAATCACACGCGCTAAATTATTTATACTAGAAATCTAAAATAATATTTTTTCATTATTGAGGATATTATTCTTTATTATATTTATTTCTCTTTTCTTAATTTTCCATAAGAACATATATGTTTGTGTTAGAACTCAGTGAAGATATAACTATTTGCAATTTTATCCCCCTACTAATATGAAAAAAGAGAAATTTGATCCCTCTCTTGACTCCCCCAGTTGCTCATGCCATCTCCACAAATGCCTTTCACCAATCTGTAACATAGCAGTGATTTTTTCGTTAATAGCAATCACTTCCCCTTCAAATTGTTTCATTCTTCCATGCAACAAGCTTCGGTGCCTTTATACTCATAGATTTGACATCTACTCATCTTTCACATTGCCAAAGGCAGTCTACAACTGATCTCCTCTCTCATCACCCCTGTTCTCCAATAGTAATTGTGAGGGCGTCTTTTATCCTCATAAAAACAACCACTCCATCTATGCTCTATCAAAGCTCTTTGTTGACACAGTCCATCGATATCTCTAATGAAGCCCTTTATCGATAATTTTGTTTCAAGATTTTTTATATATATTTTTTGACATGGATTTTATAACCACTAACTATTATTGAATTAATTGTACATAATAATCTATAAGATTAAAGGATAAATTTATGCAAGCAATGTTTTATACTCTAAAAAATAGTGTACAAAATGGCATATATTGCGATTTAGTTTGCTTTGAATGGATGCTTGGACCCTACAAAAATAGCATCCGCAATGCATGCTTAGCAATTTATTTCACTTTAAATGAACCTTATTAACATTGAGCCACTCTAAAAGCACTTTTTATGCAATAAATACTAGATCGAAGTGGCATTTTCCATGTGGGTCACTTTTTACTCCCTTAATGAATTTAAATGCTCCTTATCAATATCATAATTTATAATTATTTTTTTGTTTTAAGATGTTTTTAAACTATATAATTTTTCATATTAATTTGATACCTTTTTTTTTGGGGGTATTGGGTATGAAACTTATTTTTAAATTTGGTTCATTTATTTAATTGAAATATTATGCTCATCGCATCCCATTTTTTCAACATTTTTTGTGTCTATTTTAATAAATAAGTTTGTCAATACTTGCTTATGTTTTATGATCACAAAAAAATGTTCATAACTTATGTATTATTAGGTTCAATTGGTGTCAGTTAGTTAATTTACTTCCAAATTTATTGAATTATTTATTCATTTAAACTTGTAAAATTATTCTTTAATTTAATAGAAAAACGAAAGTTCATTTCATACTTATTCATTAATTGATTTTATTTGTTAGCCCGTTAAAATACTCGTTCAAGTAAGTTCAACGAGCCAAACGCTGTCATGGATAATTCAAAACAAGTCAAACATGATCATATGTTTGAAGTGTTCGCTCAAACTCGAGCAAAACTTGAGCAACTTGTAAACCAAGCCAAGTAAGATCCATGGTGTCCATAGCTTAGGCTAATTCAATTACAACCCTAGAGATGAGAATGTGAAGAAAAAGAAGGAAAAAAGGGAGTAACTTTTAATAAAGAAGTCTTTTCTAGAGATCTTCCAAGGAAGAGTAGACAGGAGAATAAAAGAGGGATGGGGTGGATGGGGGGTATTGTCCATGGGAGGGTTACTATTGAAAAACATCTTATAATTCTTCAATAATCCATAATAAATCCCAAGGCATTATAATAACCACACTAATTTCACTCATTAAGATTAGCCTTACCCAATCTAAATAAAGTCAAAAACTAACTAAAACAAAATAAAATGCCCCTAAAAACATCAACCATCATAGCAAAAATGAAAAAGCACAAATCCTTGCAAAAAATGGATTAATTGAGCCAACCCCATCATCTGTTTTCCTATCACGCGCGTTCCTCGCTCAAACTTAATAATCGTTCGTGTTCTCCGGATTAACCGAGCAACCCTTTTTTTCCCTTCCACCAGTTGTGATTGTTCAGCCCTCACAGGCAAGTCCAACAACCTGTTTATGGAGATCTAACAAAAGGAATTCTCAGCAAGCAAAAAAACCAGATTGGAGCTTAGAACAACGAAAATCCATCTCACATTAAAAATATTTTCAATCATAAGATTATCGATTATTTTGGAGAAAAATTCCATTATCAAATTCAAAGAGTTCTAGCAAGGAACTGACAGAACAGCCTGCAATGGATGATTAAGCAATTCCATCAGTTTCCCTTCCTTCATCCCCTTAAGCAAGCAAAGCATCCATCAGAATTCAAAATTTCGCAAAAATAAAATACTGAGCATACATACCTCAGCCTTCTCAACTGAACCATGCTCTCCAAAAATATTAGCCAGCTCCTCATTACTGACTGTTCTAGGAATATTGCCCACGTAGAGCCGACGCTTCGCCCCCGCATCCATTGAGGAGGCGGTAGGTGTTTCAGCTGTTGCAGCGTAGATTGTCGGGTATTTCTTTATACTTCTGTAGCAGAACATCGACCGATTGCTGGGCACTCGAAAGCATGGGGAAGAAGCTTCGATGCTAAGCGAAGATGGGACTTTGGTCAATGACAGAGGAGAGATTCCCGCCATTTGCATTGTATGGGGAGGAAATTAGTGTATCAGAAGAGAATAGCTAGGGTTTGGAGAGGACGAGCAGTGGAGCTGAAGAGAGTTGAAGCCAGAGTGATGTGTGTTATCCTTAAAACAGTCGGAAGGAGAAGTTTTGGTTCGCCTGTTCGAGTGTTCCGCAGGAGAAGTTTAACTAACTGCAATCTGTTAGTAGTAGAGAAAAGAAATAAGCCATACTGGTGTGTGAATTTAGTCACATATGACTAAGGCATTAAATGAATCAACACTATTCATGAACAACTTGAACTTGTATCGATTCAGGCTCGGTCATGTTCATTCAAATTAGTAAATTTATAGCCCGAAAATACAACCTCATCGAGCTGGAAGGATCGCCACCGCCGAAGATGCACCACCAACCATAAACCTATAGGGTCGGCCACTTAGGCTGACCAAACGAACGACCACCACAACCGATCGGCCACCATGGTAGACCAATTCTTAAAAAAACAGAAAATTACACATACGCAACAAATCTTTTCGGCCGCCCTCACCCGCCGGCCGGCCACCTTGCCGCTCCTATCGGCCGTCATGGCAAGCCAACTCATGAAAATAAGATATTTACATAAATAACACCCAAATTTTTTCGACCATCTTGTTTGGCCACCATGCCCACCGGCCAGCCACCTCCTCCTCTGGTCGACTTCCTTGCCGCTCCGGCCGACTCTTAAAATCAGAAATTTACATACATACCACTCAATTCTTATAGATGAAAAACGAAGCTATTTACAAGCATACCACCCAATTTTTCATCTTTACAAAACTAACACCTAAACTTAGCTATTTTATTTGCCACCTGGCCACCTGGGAAGGCCGCCTGATGCCGACGGATCCAACAACAAGAAAGCGCTTCAGGAAGATTGGTTAGAGCTGGAAAAATATCGGAGTATCCCTCATGACCCCCTTTATAAGGAAGGCATAAATGTAATTTCCTCACCCTTATCTTTTCTCTGTAAATAGAGGACCCCTTCGCTCGATCATGTAAGCAGGTTTCACGATCTGAAAGTGGGCCCATCTTCATCGTGCTCTTCTCTTTTGGATAATTAGACCTCCTCAGGATCAAGGATCAGCGTTGATAGATCTTTTATGTATATATTTTGTTTCTCTAGTTCTCTTTTTACATAAAAGTAGTGTTGCAATAAAAATAAAAGACTTTATTATAATCACATTTATTATTACTTAATGATTCAATGATTGAATTCCTTTAAATTATGCGCGTCGGATTTTTATAAATAAGAAGTGATGAGACTCATTCTCATTTCTTATTTGCCCTGCGACTCTTCACATTTGAATCAGTCGGCTTCTGAGTGTTATGATGGAGAACATATCAAACCCCTTGGGCGAAATGCTCAACAAAGATTTGATATGTTTTACCTTCAAGAAACCAAAAAGAAGGGAACAAACCGAAAGATGAAAGGAAGAAGAGACTCATCACTGAAATGTGTAGTTTAGGGGTGTGCATTGTTTGGCCAAAACCAAAAAATTGTACCGAAACGATTAAGTTTGATGGATTAAAAGGAAGAAGAGACTCATCACTGAAATGTGTAGTGTAGGGGTGTGCATTGTTTGGCCAAAACCAAAAAAAATTGTACCGAAACGATTAAGTTTGATGGATTGGGTTTGGTTTTAAAAATATATTTCGGTTTTTGGATTTTAAAACATTAATAGCTTTAATTTTAATTTAACCAAATATACCGAAAAACCAATATTTTATTAAAATATTTTATTATATTTTAACTTCAAGTAAAAAAAAAAATCTTATTATATGTAAAATTTGATTAAAATAAATAGAGAATTCATGAAATTAAATTGATATTATGTAAATAAATTATATAATTTGTAATGTTTATTCTTAGCCAAACTCCAATAAACAATTAAATTTCCGTTTGCTCAAATCTGAACAGTTTAAACATAATTAAATTTAGGTTTGGTCGGTTTTGTTTTATCAAAATTTAGATTGGTTTGGTTGTATGGATTCTGAATTTCAGTTGCAATCGATTTGACCAATTTTAAGACCTATCCATCCGAACCGACTAAATGCTTACCCCCAGTTCAGTTGAATGGCAATACAATCCATATAACCACCCGACTTTTAGTTGTGGTGCAAGACTTATTGATCGAATAGGCGGTACAAAATGTTGTTGGTGCTCTCCTGTCACACAATGAGGATGATGTATAGATTATGGTGTCTGAGTTGGATCGACTTGGACATGAGAAGCATTGGTCTTCTTTATTGCATTTTATTTCATTATTTTTCTGAACTCCTTTTCTTTTATGTTGTCTCTTTGTGTGGATAACTTACTTTAGACATGTATGGGTGGAATCCAACCATGGTTGGCATTGATGAGAATTTGATTGAGGTGCTAGCGGTAGCGAAACAGGCATCAGGTTGGGTGGTTGTCAAGTGAGGATGGTAAAGTTGACCTCTTGATGCCTCCCTTGATAGACATGAGGAAGTAGTTGATCTACTCAGGACATCCTCTAGCTTGCTCATCATCTAGACAAAATTGAGAATTCTTTTGCTTGGTTGGTAGGAATCCAGCAAGGCAACGAATTGATCGAGTTTTCGGCTCGAGTGGAGAATGTGGAGAAGCTTAAGAAGGTGGGAAAGGTGGAAGAGGTGGTGGGCACTCTTTGCCAGGAACTGTAGGATGTATGAGAGAGATCCATGATACTCTAGGCCCAGGTTAAGACTAAACGACTGAGTTAGTTTATGTGTTGGGGGAAAAACTTTATGTATGAGGCTACTTCTATTGGGGTATGCCTCAAATGAAGCAGCGACATATTATTTTATGAAATATTTCATCTCGGGCTAATTTCCGAGTGTTTTTGTTTTGTAATTTTAAGATCTTTTTTATTAAAAAAATTATCTTTGAGTTCCATTTTTTTTATGTGATCTCATTTTCACCATGTTTTGAAAACTACTGTAGAATCCAACTTTTATCCATATGAGGTCGTTCAATTACCTCCATTTCCCTATATATATAAAGAGTGTGGGGTCGGCGATGTTACTCTTACTATGCCTTTTTTTAGCTTTTCATTGTTCTCTCGAATCCTTATCCATGCTCTGCTCATTAGCTCTGTGATATTCTCTAAAGACTTTGGGTTGGTCGTGCAAAACAATCGATCGTGGATGATTTTGGGAGAGGCCGATCTGCTGTAGAATGCTTGCATATTCAATCCCACCATCAAGCTCGAGGTCGTTGGTGAGACCAACTGAGCTACCTCTTTGTATAATGTCGACCTCCTATTTTATAAAGATCAGTTTTATTTCAACCTTCGACTGCATTTTTGTCTGGAGTCATGCTGCATTTTTTCCCATCATGGTATCATTTCCGCCCAAATTATGCCCAACTTCGTAGCAGCCATCATGAACCCCAGCATCTTCTGCTACCCGTCGAGGATTATGTGGTTTGTCAAACTCTTCAACATTTTATTATTATTCTGGCCAGTCCGAAAGGATTCATACAATTTGTAATCATCTGCAATTTGTAGTTGTTGGTGTTGGAGAATAAAGTTAATGATTAGAAACCCTGTTTCTATCAGTATTCTTCCCTTCAGGGGTGGTACATCCAGACAACCCCTACTGGCAGAGTTCTAAAAAGAGAAAAGAAGAATTAGTTGATGAGAGTGTTGGTGGAAGTTTGCGATGTTGAGGGGCATTAGATATCGGTCTACCAATATCTTGATCTAATGACTATCAACCAAGTTCTTCAGCCTGATGCTTTTGCTTGAATGAACAAAGTGGACTGAAAAGCCTTCAATGCTCTCGAGACTAAGTGAGAGGCAATGATCGATGCTTGGGTAGCCAAGAAGAAGGCTTGTTCGATTGCTCACACCGGAACTACTGGAGTGATGGGTCAACCAAAAGACAGGATGGTTCGTGTTATCGAAATATTCAAAGTTCCATAACCGATTATTATATTTCTGATTCGACTGTTATTTTTAAAAGAATTACCAAATATGAACTAACCCTCACCAAGATGTCAGCGATTTCAGTGCAACCTAAGAGATTTCTAACAATTGTAGTCCATTTGGCATGCAGCAGTAAGAGGTCGAGAGGAAGGCTAGTCGGGTGAAGTTGAGCCGTCATGAGGGAAAGGCTTTGACACAAAGACATGAAGTAGGATCTACCACTCCTCAATCGCTCGATCCAATGCTCGTCGATTTGTCTGTAAGGGATGAAGTCAATCATTGTTCTTCGGTCGACCTAGTTAAATCTCTCCAAGTAGAGCCTTAGTCAATCAGTCACAAAGGTGGAGCGTTGTTGTGAGGGGAAATCACCTACAATCAATTCAAGTGACTTGCCATTTGGCACATCTCAGAAGAAGCACAAGGGATCCTTTTTCAGGCAAATTCCGATGCAAGATGCATAATCGAAGGTGAGCCGAGCTCGGATGGCGAGTTTGCGCCGATCAATCTCTAAAAGGAATGTTATTATTTTTGAAGAGGCTATTCTAAAATAAAACTCACCTGCTTTGTGTCTAATGACTGACAAATTTCATTTAATGATTTGGGAAGCTTCTCATCTGCGGTCGGCCATCCTTCTTCAGGAATGTCAAGAACGTCTGAAATTTAGTAGAAGTTGGTGAAGACAAAAGAGAGATTTAAGGCAGCCAAAATAAAGGTGTTTTGATATTCAGATTTGCTTTTGGTTACCCAAGAGGAGAATTGAACCATGAAAGCTAAGATAACAATGATGAAATTTTCTGATGATTTTTTTATCGAGCTCTCCTCCCGCTCGACTCAGGTGGCTCTTCTCCCCATAAAGTTCAAAGATTGGATTTTCTTTTGATATTTGCCTCATGAAAAAGATCTGATTGGTCTCTCCTAAATGGTCCAACATGGAGATGATATCCACATTGTCGTTGGATTAGAAGGAGAGGAAAAATGAGTGAGGACAATGGTAGGTAGTAGAATGTGTGACCAGCTCTCAGCTTTTTCTAGTAACTTATATAGTTTTTTACTTCTTTTTTGAACACTTGTAAGTAGAGGTTAGACAATTATTAAGTTTTTAATTACAAATAAAAATAAGATTTCTTGGTTAATCACACTTTTATATTTTCCTTTTGCAT